CACAGCGGCTATTTCAGAAACCCCACAGGTCGTATTTGGTTAAAGGGGTCACATGGGAACCAAACAGGAATACTGAAGAGTCAGAAGATGGAAGCGGTGATCTGAAAACATGAATGTAATATTTAAAAGGCTCATATTACGCAGTTTTTTAAATCTGTGTTAATGTTGTTTCCTCTTCACAAACAAACCTGGATTTGTGTTTTGTTTAATTCACACACAAACCCTGCATATTTAGGCTGAGCTCTTCCCTCAAACAGAAAACACTCTGTTCCACCTTGTGATGTCAGGTGGTAATACAGGAAGTGCTCCAGTGTGTTTTTAAACTCCATACACCTTCACTAGAATCATTTGGATGATTTCAGCCCTGGAATTGCCAATCTATATTGAAATAAAAGGTAAAAGGGGCTGTTAACTGAAACCTATTGCTTCATGACATCACAAGGTGGAACCATAAACCAGGGGTCTCCAACCTTTTTCCTCCAGTGAGCTCCTTTACAAAACAAAAATGCCAGAGAGCTACTCATTGAAATTGAGACAATTATTAGAAAGATGGCGAGCCTTAGGGTACAGTTAGATTCCTATAAAACTTAAACCATTGTCCATTTATTAGTGCCAAAAGTTGGGCTTCAAAATTATACATTTACAGTGATACTAGGCATGTAATTAATAAACATTTTTTATTCAGCACAATGGTATAATTCCGGAATCCGTTGGTGTGCTACTTGGAAGGGGGTGGAGAGCTACAGGTTGGAGACACCTGCCTTAGACTGTATATATAAATGGACACAATACTCTAGCCGGCGTGTTCCAAATAGTTCCAAATGTTCTCATGCGGCTCTTCTGGCTCCTTCTGACCCTGGCTCCCATTGACTTAATTTGACTTGCATTGTAATATTATCGCTCCTCTCTCTGTAACTACTGCTGTGAGCCTTGTCATTTTTCAAATGTTCTTATTAACCCGCTCCGCATGATCCTGGCGGGTTTTTATTTTGCTATTTGGTCCGTCAAAAAAATAGTATTCATAATATAGATCCTGGCTCCAAAGTGACTCTGTAACTGTGAGCATCGCAAGCCTCATTGGAGCTGAACGCTGTGGCTGACGTCACACTCGCTTAGTACACTTCTTTATACAGTCTATTATTTATACAGTCTATGTCATTTAGAGCTTTGGAGATGTAGACAGACTAATAACAAGCGTAATCAGAGATAGCAACCTGGTCCCCCCTGCAGCTTATGAGGAGCCCAGCCCATATTACATGATCATTATATCTGCAATACAATGTGTGTATCTGTACAGGCCCATGAACATTTGTGTGATATTGGTCACACATGAGAATGTCTGTGTTTACTAATGAAAATGTAATTTTTCATGAGTTGTGTATCACCAGAAAAAGAAGAAATGGAAATTATTTTCGTTCCAATTAGAATTTTAATGCCATACACTGAAAGAGAAATGAACTGTTATAATTACTGATTATCTCGAAAACTTTTAATATTTTATTATACAAATGCTTAGAATTAAAAATAGATAATAATTTTTCTGAGATTTTTAGACCACTCCCGTAGCTCGAGCTCGATCCTTCGCGGAGTTATGACCAAAAACGCATATTTGACTTTGGTGACCTTGACCGGTTTCAACCTGTAACATCCAGTGTGCCCCGGTTATGTGTACCAACTTGTCTGATGATTGGGTGAATATTTTAGCCCGCAGATGGTTCAGAAATTGCCGAAATTGCCGATCCTTTATAATGGCGTGACCTTTCAATTGACTCGTGTGACCTCAAATGACCTCGGATCGTCACCAAACTTTTTTTTTTTTTTGCGGCATCGGGCATGGGGGCTTGACCCACGTACCAAATTTGGTCACAATCGGCCCATAAATGGTGGAATTATCATGGGTAGACAGACACACAGACACACACAGGGTGAATACAAAACCTGGTCAACCCTTCGGGGACCAGGTAATAAATAATTACCCAAATATGTTAATGAAACAAAACACATCTCCAGGTCTGTATTTGAGAGGTAACAGCATTATAACATGACTTACGTAATATGGGACCTTTAAGTAATCATAACGAGAGTCGAAAAAACTACTACACCAAAACGTGAATGTCAAACGAGTGCGTACGACATGACTATCTGGAGCCAGAGCCCAGTGGCCTTTGGGAAACCCCTCTGTCAGGACCAGATCGGCTTGCACACACACATGCTCTCATAAACACATGTGCGAGGTGCTCAGTGTGAAGAGGAGGAGGAGGCCCTATGCTAATTTTACTGAGGTCTTTGAATGCAGCATGAGCACCTGCACTGCCCTTTGCCTTTGGTCATAAAATACTCAGGTTTACTAGTTATTAAAGTGGCTAGTTAATAATTTCAACAACTTTATGATTTTATGCTTTCAGTTGGACGGGTTAATTTACAGCTGGAGATTTCAGAGCCAGTTCTCAACGGCAAAGATTTTATAATGCATCAATCATCTACAACCATGAAACTGAACTGTACTGTTCGTAAAGGTTTGATATTTTATTCTCTCTGGTTTGGTCACATGCTGCTCAGTGTGCCGCATGTGAATTCATTGTCAAATGACTGTTATGACCCAGCTCGTTGGGGTGAGGGAAGTAACAAAAATAAAATCAAGATGTATAATGGAATTATTAAATAATGTTTAATTAACAGGAATGTAAAGGCAGATTAACAAAACAGGCTAAAATATACAGAAAATACTCTAAACTAAGAAAGTTTTGTGCTACAAAAGAGGGTCACGCAGGCTTTCGCAAATCGAGTGGTAAAACTAAGCGACACACACGAACTAAAACACAAATTCAACCACATAAGCCCACAAACAGAATCGAGTGACCAAATCAAAGAAGGCACAAAACAGAACATAACTACAGAACTACACACAAACACGAACAGAAACGCAAAATGGCATACGGGCCACTAAGGCCAGCAGCCCCGAACAGGTGCTGGTAATCTCCTTAAGTAGGGGGCGGTGGCTGCAGGTGAGGTGGGCGGAGACATGCCCCACCAATCACGGGCCAGGGCTCCCACAGCAGGAATCAGGAGAGCTCAGCAAAATAATTTAGAACACACGAAACAAATTAGAACAAAAGACCTGGGGCCGTGACACTGACCAAAGGAGAGTTTATCGCTGCTACTTGCTTCTCTTCACGGAGTTCAATAATTACTCGTGTCGCTGTCATAGACCGTATATGTGAGTGGACATAGTTAACCCACTAGCCGTCGCGTTCCAAATAGGAAGTGCACTAGGAGGCTCTTGTGGCTCCTTCTGACTCTGGCCCCAATTGACCTACATTGGGATGTTGTCACCCCTCTGTCTGTACCTGCTGCTGTGAGCCTTGTCAAATTATGTTCGTCCTACAGTCACCAACCTTGGCATCACCTTAGACAGTGATTTTAAGTTTGACAAACAGATCAAAAATGTTTTAAAATCAAGTTTTTATCATTTGTGGCTTTTATCTAAAGTTAAAAATGTTTTATCTTTTAAATATTTTGAACAAGTTATGCACACTTTTATTTCATCACGCCTAGACTACTGTAATGCACTTCATTCCGGCATTTCACAAAACGCACATTACTGACTATAGTTAGACCAAAACTCTGCAGCGCAACTTTTAATAAAAAGGAGAGAGCACATTACCCCAATCCTTGCGTCTTTGCACTGGCTTCCTGTTAATTTTAGAATTGATTTTAAAGATTTTATTGTTTGATTTTAAAGCTTTGAATGGACTGATCCCACAGTACGTCTCAGACCTCATCCAAATTTATACCCCCGTGCGCGCTCTGAGGTCCAAGGGCCAGCTCCAGCATTTTATTTATTTATTGGTTTATTTATTTCTATTCTATGATTTTCTTATTTTATTTTACTGGCTTTATTATTTTAAGACTAGTATTATTTTAGTAGTTTATTTTGTCATTATATTATTATTGTTATTATATATTTGTGCAGCACTTTGGAAACTGTTTGCTTGTGAAATGTGCTATAGAAAAAAAGTGGATTGGATTTTGTGTTTGTATTAACCTGCTCTACATGATCCTGAATTTTTCATTTCGCTATTTTGTCTCTAAATCAAGATATGAACATAAATAACGGACCAATCAGACGCTTTCATTCCCTGAGGTCACTCCTGCTCGCTTCAGCAACAAGTTTGATTGACAGCTAGTGCAGTTTGTTGCTAAGTACACCCTCTTTCAACTTTCCGGTGAGAAGGGCGTGCACCTTTAACAACCTCAGTCATGATTGGCTTTTGTGGTTGCTATGATACTCGTGGTTGGATTTCCAAATATGGAGCTTCAGATGTAACTGTGGCAACGGGAGCTTCATTTTAGTGGAGCTGAACGCTGTGGGTGACGTCACACTCGCTTAGTCAACTTTTTTATACAGTCTATGGTTGATACAAAAGAGGAGGACATGTTTTTCACAAAATTGCAAAGATTTTTCAGGTAAGATCTACAAGAACCAGAACTTTCGATGCAAATGAACCAGAGAGAATAAAATATCAAAACTGAAATAGACACCGAGACTGTTTTTTGATTGGTGTGAAATAAACTTTTAATTAAATATTGGGGAAAAAAAAGAAAAAAAAAAGTTTTTTTGTTTCACACTAAAACGGAATAAGGAAATACTGTTTTCCCATTTTATTGTTTTCCGTTCTTAATTGAAATTCAAAAGAACAAATGGTACACGGACCCATAAAGGACATACATTATAATGCAATTTTCTCGAGCAAAACCATCATTTTTGTTTACCAGTAGTTTGGGTTTAGGACTGCCTTGTAACTTTCTCTGCTGCGTATTAAAAAGTAATGGGTTGTATAATTGGAATATATGACAACCCTCCATGTGGTAGTGCATAACATTTTCCTCCCAATATAACAAAACTGGCTTTTAATGGTACACAGACATTTATTTTAATACATTTCAATTAATATACAAACTATTAACTTTTAACTTAATATTTCTTGTTCTGTTTTTAGGAGGCACAGTCAATAGATGTGGACACGGGGCAGTTATGGAGTTCTCCTTTAAAAACTCCACAACCAGCTCCCAGGATAAAGGTAAAATGTTTTTTTTTTTCATATTTTCTTTGTAGTTAATACACCTAGTCCTTTCATAATAATTACTATATCGACTTCGTTCAATATATGACCGGTGGAATCATATATTTTGTGTTTTTTTGTACGTATTTATTTGTTATAATGGTGGGAATTTTGCCGTTTTTTTTATGTCTTATGATACGTTTTGAGCTGTAGAGAAGGGCGGGGTTTCATTCAGAAGTTGTCTATATGATACACATCTCGATACAGTGATTTTACAATTCGATACGTTTCAATACAATATATTTAAAATCGAGTAAACACGGTTCAAGCAAGAATAAAGGCTAAATCATTGCTCTGATACTAAAAGTCTTTGTTAAATGACATGAAACGCGTCATTTTAATCATCAGAACTAGTGAAATGTGAAAAAAAGGAGTTTCCATTCCTCTGAACAAGCAACAAAACTGTAGCACTGTAACAAAATAATTTAGTTAAAAACACTCTTGGTGATAATATATAGATACGGTAGCCCACGATATCGATACTGTATCATCACATTACACTATACAATATATTAGTATTTCAGTATTTTTGTAGAGCAGGGGTCATCAAACTAAGGCTCGCGAACTGACTCCGGCCCCCCAGCCCCTCTGTCCCCCACCACTTGAAGCTGGCCCTATGAGGCAATCCTCAAAAGTTGTCATGGCCTATTTTTTTTTTTTTTTATTAACTTTTTGACAAATAATAACATGTCTGCATCTTGTATTTTGTTGATTTTTTTCAGCTTTTTTCAATTAAATAATGATATTTATATGAAGTATTTATATTTAAATAAGTATATGACTTATTTACATTTGCCACCGAATTTTCGTCACCTGACAAAGCTCGAGATCAAACAGTGACAGCCAACGCATGCACAGAGTTCTGTAGTGCAGTTAAGGACAGCAAAATGGTGAGTGTTAAAGTACAAAAACTTGACAGGGAGTGCAGAGAACAGTGGTCGAGCTATTATTTTTTTGTTCAGTGTAAGGACCGTGCAGTGCGGCGGTTTTCAAAGAATATAATCTGCATCATCAGGATCATACAATTCTGTTATACGTCTGACCTGACCCCGGCCCCCATCACAGTCAAGAGCGATAATGTGGCCCCCAGAGAATACATTTTGGTGACCCCTGCTGTAGAGAGTAGAACAAGTAACTTCTTTTGGTTCATTCTGCTATTTATGTCTTGCAACTCAGACCTTTTATTGATATTGTATATTTTAAAGTGCACTGTGTAACTTTTCTGGTGAGTGTCCTCGACCCTGCTTTGCTTTAAATTGTCCACAGTATGGCATTAAACCAATCTGTCTTGCATTTATTGAACTACAGCTGTTATATATTGCTCAGAAAGTTGTTAAAAAACATGAATTCTCCACAAATCTAACCTGTTATTTTTCTTGCAAGTCTCCATGGAGATTCTTATGTTTAGGGCCATACTGTGGAACATTCTAGGCACATCTCCACGGAGACAAACAGGTGACAGGCCCTCCACCAGACAAGTTACACATCTTTATTTACATATCTTTGAAAATATATTTATTGGGATTGTCTTGCTTCATGTCAGTGGTTTAAAGTAGTTTCAATATTATAGTTTATCTCGATATTTCTCTGTAGCGATATATCACGCTTCAAGATTTGTTATCGCAGCAGGCCTACGTGCACACCCTTTAAACCCTGCTCTGTTATTTAACGCTTGTACTTTCAAATTCCCATCCGCATCACCCGTAACGTCGACCATGTGACTGTGTGTGACATAATCTGCATGCCGTGTTTTGTAAAAGTTGTTTTCTGAGCTCAGATTTTATCAGTGTCTGATTGTCGATAGTGGCCGGGTTGTGTTTGAGGTCATTCTTGGTTAAAGGTCATGACCTTTTTAATGCTGTGGGACTCACAGAGAAAATGCACAGTAATTTAGTTTTAGAGTAGAGTGTTACAGTGGAAAAATACTACAGTTTAGGGTTGTCAGTAGTTTAGTTTATTTATTTATCATTGACAATGCACATAAAAAATTGACCTACATGCCAATAAAATACAAATTATATTAAGGGATCATTCATTCATTAAATCAGTAAGTAAATTTAGTCCCATTAAAGTATTGAAAGTATTGAAAATCAGATACTAATTGATATTAAAACTAGTATCGAAACTAGGGATGGGCATTCGATAAAATTTTCTTAATCGATCGTTAGAAGAATTAACGATCGATTATCGATTAATCATTAACGTTTTTATATTAAAATGATCATCATTATTATTACTATCTGCACTACTAATCTGCATAAATAAATTCTAATTTACGACATATAAACCGTAACGACTCTAGAGCCACATCAATCCGTTTGACATTTTAATGTGTTTAATTCAGTTTTGCGCATCTCTCACAGAAACAAAACTTTAAACCGCATCGCTAATTTGCATAAACTCAGCGAAGATAAAACTACAGCTCTTGTGTCGCTGATGCGGTCAATTTCTGTCGGATTAAAAGACATGATTCAGTGGAATACAGGTTAGTGTGACCATATTTGCGTTTGTCAAAACCAGGACACCGTACAGGGGGTAGGAGATGGGGACTCGTCATCGACATTGCGCGACTCTCACCTGGTAAAGCTTTTTCCCACTGGACACCGAAACATATGTTCCTGCTTTGTACACTGTGCACATGGACTCCCACTTGTCCCGAACGCAACGGAAAGCGAGGAATTTCTTGTACAACTCATCGTTAAATACTCATTTGTGCTTCGGTATGTTGCAGACTGATCGAATGTTTGTGTCTCACTCCTTCTGATGCAGAGAGACACATGTACAGACCCCTGTTTGGTGACGCTACGCACAGCAACCTACATTCGGTTTGTCGATTAAAATTAACGTAATCGATGAAATTCTTAATGATCAAGTATCGATTAATCGATTAATCATGCCCATCCCTAATCGAAACCAGATATTCATTTGAGCAGTTACCGATACTAAAAAAGTCTCATTCACAAAACAGAAATGAACCTTTCCTGAATAGCTTTAGAATGATCTTGAGCTGTATCAGAGAAAGTATAAGAGCATACGGACATATTTACGTTACGGTGTGTGCGTATACATGTACATCAGTATCCCGGTTATGATCGGGTTATTTTGACTATCCTGGTTTTATCATGATGCATGTATAGTCAGTATCCCGGTTTCAGTATCCCGGTTATGAGAAACGGATATATTCTGGTAGTAACTGGGATAGTGTGGCATGTATACACAGTATCCCGGTTACTGCAACATAAAGTTGAGTGCGCATGCGTCCAAAAAACTGAACCACATCACCGCACAAGGAAAGAGTTGCTTTTTTCAGCGCTAATAATTTATGCACATTAGCCATGCTGTTTTAAGTTTTGTTTCTGTAAAACGTAAACAAATGTGATCAAAGCTGAATTATATGATCAAACAGGCTGATGTGGCTATGTAGTGGTTATGGTTTATATGTTGTAAAGTTGAGTTTATTTATGCAGAAGATTTTAATTAAGAATCTGCTGCAGCGTTGAACTTGTTTGGAAACACTGGGTTTGATCTGCACAGTGGATTATAGCTCTGTACCGCTGGTTAAACCTCCTGAGCTTCCTCTGCTAAAGGAGCTCATGGTTGTTTGTATTTTTCCTGGTTTATTAAATTAAGTTAAGTTAATTTTTGTGCTTGCGCATTTGTAAGATTATGTCAAGAAACCAGGATACTCAATTTGATCATGTATATGGGGATATGAGCCCGGTTTCTCAGCGCGCATGTAAACGCAGTATCCCAAATACTGCCATACCGGGATATGGCTAATAACCGGGATACTGATGTGCATGTAAACGCACTCAGTTTCTAAGAAGAAACTGTAAGAGTAGTGTTGTGGAAAAACATATATATCTCTTGAAGATAAATAATGAATCCATTTGCGAAGCCCTATGAGTTTTTGGAATATAGACCAAGGTATATTCTTGTTACAGCAGATATGGACAGGGCCTAGGCCTGTTCTGGCCAAAGCCCAACAGCCTCTCACCTTGTCTCTCCCCCCATGTCTCTTCCAGAGCATTTCAGCTCTCTGTATTTATACAGAAATACAAGTTACATACATATCAATGCAGAGTGGCTTTGGTTTCAGAGGCTGGTGCTAAATGAACATACAGTTGATGATAACAAAAGGCTTCCTGAAGACAGAGACAGTTGTGCCTGATGAACCTTTACACATGTTAATGACTGGTCTGGGTTTCAGGTAGAAATCACATTAATTTACACAAGACAGATTGAGAGAAATCTTTCCACAATCTAAATTTCTATCACAGTAGAGTTAACTTCATTGGCACTAGGTTAAGATTTATTTTAATGACCCAGTTGTAAAATTTGTCCTCTGCATTTGACGCATCCTTAAATGTCGACTTGTCAGGAGCATCTCCAGATTTAGAGTTCGACGTGGTCAGTACTTTAGCAGGAGGATTTTACTTTGTGCATGTTTATTCTTTATTTTGGATTCCCATTAGTAATTACTGCAGCACTAACAATTCAAGTACAAGTACAAAAATTTCACATACTGTAGATATTCTATTTGTAAAAAATAAGTTTATTTTACAGACAAACATAATTATTGCTATATACGAATGTTTAGTCATTTACAATTTCAGTTTCGACTGATCTTTTTTAAACTCACAAATCTGTTACTTGAGGTAATTTAACATTTACTGCCAATTTCCTTTTTTATTTTGTTTTTATTTTATTTATTTTATTTTGTTATTATTATTTTTTGTTTTTGTTTTTAATTTATTTTTAAGCAGATCCTCCTTTGAATCTGTATTTAATATAGTTTTAGAAAAATTGATGCAAATGAATACAGCTCTGTATAATATGGATTTTGTTAAAGCACTGGTCTTAGTTAATGACAGACTGTATTGCATCAGAGCTGAGTGTCTGGTGCCCGTGTAGAGTCAGCTGTTTGTAAAGGCACATAGGCTTTTTAGGGAGCGACAGCTCTCATACAACTCTCAGGGACAACAGATGGAAATCAGCTTTCAGTCATATTTACAGATGTTCATAAATATGCACTGTCCCTATCAAATAAATAAATAAATATATATACAAACTGAACCTCTTTACAGCTCATTCTCTGTTTTACTGTCACAACATAAGGGTTGAGCTAGAGCAATTCTCTATAAATGTGGGTAATATTTGAAGTAACTTTTGTCATCTTGAAGTTAAGTACTTTCTAATAAATGCAATATTCTACTAGTACACTGTGTTCACTATTATTAGGCAAGTGGGTATTTTGACCATATCATGATTTTTATGCAAATTCTCCAACTCCAAGCTGCATAAACTTGAATTCTTATTGGATTTCAGCATATCAGGAGATGTGTATTTGTGTACCGAGGGAGAGTGTGCAGAATTATTAGGCTTTAGGGTGAAGAAAAACAGTGTAGCTCTGAACAGTGTCTGGGAGGCGTGTAGAAGCTGCTGCAGAAATAGTTGTCCATCAATAGATCAAGAAACGGACAGACTCCACGAATGGAAGTCTTATGACCATTATTGAGAAAAAGAGTGGCTGTATTTGGTCACTGATTTTTAATTTTTTTTATATTTTTGGAAATGTGTGGAATGTTTATTTGTAAATGTTGAGTTGTTTACTATTCTGACAGATGAAAATTAAAAAAATGAAATGGAATTTTTTTTTTCATGTAATTACTTAATAATTCTGTACATTAATAGTTGTCCAATAAAGCAGACAAAGATTTTGACCTAAGAAAGCCAAAACTTCACTTTTACTTTCTTAAATACTTAGGTTTGAGGTTAATTAACATTTTGGATTGACCCAGAGCATTTTAGTTGTTCAGTTATAAAAATGTATCCTCATAAGTGCAAGTTTCCTAATAATTATGCGCACAGTGTATTTCCACGGTAACACTTTAGATTAGGTCCCACATATTAATAGCTAGTTAATAGTAAAATGAATAATAAGAGCTTAATTACATCTTTGTTAGTATTTATAAAGTACTTTCAATGCATTTTTGGCTGTATTTTGCGAGTACTAACCCACTGACTATTTTCTTCCCAATAAAAAGTAGCAGAGATTACAGTAAATATTTTTGTGCATACACTGAAATATTAAGCATTAATAAGTGTTTGATTAATACCAACTAATAGCTAAGTAACAGCTATATGGTCCCGAAACTAAAGTGTTACCATTTCCACTCCCTTTTACTTGAATGAGCGATATAGGCTACGTTTATATGATAACGGTCTGAACAGAAGATGCAAAAGTGGCATCGCGTCTTCACTTTTTATTCCGCGTTTAGACGAGCGTTTTCGGGAGGAAATTTGCGTGCGTACGGTGACACAAAAGTGTGTGGAATTCGATTGTGTGTGCATGCCAGGTTTCTGTGTACTGTATGTATGTAACGTAAACGTGTTCGCGATGTGAGCAGATTTGACCAGAGTTTTACAAAAGTCTTGGACAGTGTAGACGGAAACGCTACAGCAGAGCATATTTAACTTTTCCACTCTGGAGGGTGGTTTCAAATTTTTGTGTTTTTAAACTCCAAAAACACCATCCCCGTCTAAACCAGTCATGTCCAAACTATGCCCATGGTCCAAATGCGTCCCTCAGAAAAAAATTTCTTGGCCCTCAGGCTTCCAGGAGAATTGGCCCAAATTACCTTACATCAATGCAAAGTGTACTTTTTATTGCAAGTTTTTTGAAAATGTACCTTGATAAAAGCCAATATTTATAATATTTTGTGTGTGGTTTTGAGGATCTTAGCATGAATAAAGGACTGATGGCTCATTTTAATGTGATAAACATGCACATATTTTAATTATTTACTGCTCTGAGCACATTCTACGGCTCTCGATCGGCCCTCTGCTTCACCTGGGTTTACATATGTGGCCCTTCATGAAAAAAGTTTGGACACCCCTGGTCTAAACAAAGGGCACTTTTGATAAAATATTTTGTCGTTTTTACCCGCCAACATTCTCATGTAAACAGTCCCATAGTTTCTAACACAGGAGCTTTATTTGAGCACAGAAGACTGGAGCCTATCTTTCACTTATATATGTATATTTTAGTATATTTTTGACAATGTGCTGTATATTTTTCAGGCTGGAGCGATCACCCCAGTTTCAAATGCAGAATCACTGGACCAGCTCAATGCAGACGCTCCAAAACCAAGGCCTAGAAAACTCAAGGTACACTTCTTCTCTGTCACTGTGATTTATTATATACTAGTAGGCTTGATTTAATACCTAACAGTTTCTCACCCTCCGCAATAAATAAACCGCCTATTATATATTATCTGCCGGGCGCCGTGGTGCTGATTAGCTGTAGGTCATTGGTGAGGCAGTCTGTGGTCACCTGATTTAATTTGATAACAGCAAAGAAAAACAGGCCTATGTGGGACAAGCGAGGACATTCTGTTTTTAACTAGTACTAAACGCAGTGGTGGAACGTAACAAAGCGAAAGTAGTAATGTGCTGTACTTAAAGGTGCACTGCATAACATTTTTAGTTGAGGGTCTGCCACCTGCTTGTCTCCATGGAAATGTTATTGCTTTGTCTAGAATGTTCCACAATATAGATTGAACATATTTATCTATGGAGAGTTGCCCCGTCTGTTGTATTTTTGAGCAACCCGTAATGAATAAATGTCAGATGGATATGTTTAATTAGCCAGGCTGGCGTCACCTAGTGCCTCCGCTCAATTTCATTTCTCTGCAGCAACTAGGTCAGGAATCGAAATACACTAGACCAGGCACGTCCAAACTATGGTCCATGTGCCAAATGCGGCCCTCAGACAATTTTTTCTTGGCTCTCAGGCTTCCAGGTGAATTGGCCCATCAATTAAAATGTACTTTTTACTGCAAGTTTTTTGAAAATCTACCTTGATAAAGCTAATATTTAACATTTAGTGTGTAATTTTAAGACTGATGGCTCATTCTAACGTGTTAAACATGCAAATATTTCAATTATTCACCGTATTGAGCACTAGTTTACGGCCCTTTATCAGCCCTTTGCTTCGTCTGTGTTTAGATATTTGGCCCTTAATAAAAAAAAAGTTTGGACACTGCACTAGACGGTTTGCAAGAACGCCGGAAGTGCGAGTTCGGGCACCAGCCAATCAGCGAAGAGCCATACATTCTGTGTTGGCAACGATTCCCAAGATTTAGGATTCAAAGCCGGAACAAAGAGAATGTTTGGTCAATTTTATCAAGGGGAAAGACGTTATTGCTCTTCTTCCTACATGATTTGGGAGCTTAAAATACCACACATTACATACGTCACGACCAAATAGCAGAGATTGGTTAAGGAAAATAGTACCCGCCTACCGTTGAGCAAACGAATCCTAATGCTGCGAGGTCAGACTGATTCTACAAAGTGAAACCGGCTGATGAATCAGGTTAGTGTAATCCCTCAGTGGTTCTGGTAGGTTCCATAGTGGTCCATGGGCGTACACTAGTCTATGTGCTCTTATACTTGCTCTGATTCAGCTCTAGATCATTCTAAAGATATTCAGGAAAGAACAATTTCTGTCCTGTGAATGTGACTTTTTTAGTATCGATACCTGCTCAAAATAGTATCTAGTTTCGATACTTTGTTTATTTAATATTTCATTTTTGATAACCCTACTATGCATGTAAACCTTTTAGCCCCTGGAAACTATTACATTTTATCTCCATGTTTTTATTACTGAAATGCCAATAAACTTGTTTTGTCCTTGTATGATTCATGGCACTATCTCACAATTAAAGTTCACAGTCAAACAAACCATCGCCAAGCCAAATCCAAAAATCATTAGAACACTCGATAAAAGATTTACAACACTGACTGAGCTGATCATTAATACGAAACACTATTAAAGGATCAATAAACCAACTTTTTTTCTTATCCAAACTGGCTTCAGCACTGTCTCCAGTTAGTGTCAAATGCTACCTTGCCCTTGAGAAGAAAACAAGCTCGATATGATATCTGTAGGCGGAGCAGTTAAAGGCAGTGCTGGATGAGGTACTCTGTTTTGTTACTTAAGTAAAAGTACAGGGGCAAAAGAATACTCAAGTAAAAGTATCACATGAAAAAATATACTTAAACATATACTATACAAATTTTCTTTAAAAGTGCACCAAGTAACTTTTTGGTTGGGGCCCGTCAGCTGCTTGTTTCTACGGATATGTCATTGCTCTGCCTGAAATGTTCCAAAGTATGACTTTAAACAGCTGTACCTTATATTTATTTAATTACAGGTGTTTTTATGGCTCAAAAATACCTATAAAAACAGGTATTCTGACTGTAAGCAGGATCGCTTCTCCACAGTTCTGACCTGTAACTTGGTCTGGTTTGGTCTCCATGAAGATTGGAAGGTTTAATGCCATACTATGAAACATTCCAGACAAACCAATAACATCTCCATGGAGAAAAAGTTACACAATGCACCTTTTAAGAGTAAAAAGTAAAAAGTATTTTGCAGTACATTTTTGTGAACAATTAAAGCATCAAATGTAGTGATTTTGATAAAGAATTTAGCAGATTTTAAGCAACTGATTTCTTAATTTTTCTAGCCTTTTTTCCGGGCTATTAGGCGCGCTCTTAAGCCTCCAACCCCATCAAAAAATTACATTCCAGAGCGCCCTATACACGAATCCACTCGGGTGTCCCAACACGCATGGAGCAGACAGCGACTGCGCAGCATAACACACCCGCAGCAACACTCATCACTCCACGCGGACAAGGAATGGAACGGAGGAACGAACCGAAAAAGCGAGTGCAATGTGCCACTTCTAGACACAACTGAACAACTGAGTCACTGCAAACACGCCGACAATCCAGCGGTCCCAGACAGCACCCTCCCTACACGCCACAACGGAACAAAGCCCAGAGTCACCGTGAACGTGACAAACAAAGTCCAACTGACCCATCGAACTGTTGTGTTTTGTTTAAAGTCCAGTGCGGTTTATTTGTGAAAAAAGTTTGAAAATAGACCATTTAATGACAGTGAGCCTTAATAGAGTGCCTAATAGTGCGGAAAATATGGTAGTTGGGATCTTAACTAAAATTAAAATTAAGTCTCAGCCATTTCAACAAGTCTCAAACTATAAAGAAAAGTACTTTTTACTTTTCAGTCCCGATCTAAAATGTAGTGGAATAGAAAGTACTGATACCTGCTCTCAAATGTAGTGTAGTACAAGTTAAAAATATCCCCTTTTAAATGTACGTGAGTAAAAAAACAGATACCGAAATAATTCACCTTCCACCACTGAATAAAGGTAGTATTTGTAGTAGGGATGGGACAAGATCTCGTGCCAAAAGATCTTGTTTTCCATTTAGTTTACATCTAGATTGGACAAAAAGAGTTACGGACTGGTAAATAATCTCTTGTGGATCTATGGTTCCGTAAAGAAGGTTTACCACTACAACAAAAAAATATAAAATTAGAAATTATGAGGCCAAAACTGCAAACAGGATCGCACAATTATTTTATTATAAATTATTTCAAAATCTCGTCTTGTCTTGTTTTTGTGGACCTAATCTCGTGTCTTGTGTTGTGGAAATTGTGTCTCGTCCCACCCCTAATTTGAGGTAACCTGACCAGTTTTTTTTCAGAATCTGGCTCAGCTTTTTACCTTTTCGTCTTTCCGGCAGTTAAAAATGAAGAATGCTTTCCAGGTATTCTGTTTCTTGACTCCGGGTTTGTGAGGTCGGGGTTGTGAAATGAGGTCAGCTTTGCATTGTTGTCAGTCAGCTATACCTATTCTCTGTACTGACAAAGAACCACAGTGAAGTCATTTTCTGTTTACAACCTCTGAAACTGCCCCAGAAGAGAAATGATTTACTTTTACAGTTTACTTTTATGGACTGAAATAATATGACCTTTATAGATTAAATAATGTTAAATAGATAATACAGGATCATGCAAATACTGTCAAAAGTCAAATTGATCTGATTATAATGTTGTTTCCTCATCACAGACAGACCTGGAGTTGTGTTTTGTTTCATTCACATATTTAACACATGAATCCTGCATATTTAAGCTGATACAGGATGTGCTCCACTGTGTTTTTAAACTCCGTACACCTTCACTAGAATCATTTGGATGATTTTAAAGCTGTAATTGCCAAACTCTACTGAACAAAAGGAGTTATGAACTTGAAAACAATCACTAAATGACATCACAAGGTGGAGCAGAGCATTTTGAGCTTTGGAGGTGTAGACAGATTAATAATAAAGGGTTACTCAAACATGTGTGAATGAAACAAAACACAACTGGCTCATCCAAGCTGCTTATTCAGTTCTGGTCAAAATGCTGGTGGACACTTCCTTATATCTGCCTGCAGGGAGGAGCTAACTACACTGAAACTACTCTGAAACTAACACCAGATGAATAGGCTTAGCTAACAAACACAACTGTAAATAAGTAGGGTGTTAGTTTCACAGTAGTTTCAGTGTAGTTGGCTCCTCCCTGCAGTCAGATATAAGGAAAACACTTAGCATTCTGACCAGAACTGAAGAAGCAGCTTGGATGAGCTGCAAAACATTTTCATCCTACATACCGTAAATTCCAGACTATAAGCCGTTACTTTTTTCCTACGTGAGCTCGGCATCAGTGAGTCGGTGGTGAGACTTTGGCGATGGCAGCTTGACGAACTGACTCAGTGCAAAAAAAACTTTCAGAGGCGATAAAAGCCGATGGCCTGAACTTAATAACATTCTTGAAGACGTGGACACCTGCGGCTTATATTCAGGTGCAGTCTATATATGTACAATTTTAAAATTTTGCTCAAATTTAGTTGATGCAGCGTATATTCAGGTGTGCTCAATAGTTATTTTATGGTAATCGTTTGTCCAGCTGACAAACTGAAATTCTCCTTTTGCCAACTTCGGGTATGTTTTAACAATGGACACATGTATCATGTGACAGTTATCTGACCGTACTGTGTGTGAGTGTAACTGTGTTTTTAAGCTGCCGGGAGTGAGCCCAAGACAAATTTCCCTTTGGGCCAATAAAGTTTATCTTATCTTATGACATCACATAAGAAGATGACCTAACAACTAGGGCTGGGCGATATGGATCAAAAAATATATCTCGATATATTTTGCTATATCTCGATATATGATATATATCTCGATATATGTTCAAGAAAAAATACCCCCCTAAAACTGAAAATTGCAAAAACAAATCTGCCAAATTCCACAAGGTCCTTTTTTTTATTGAAGTGTAAGAGGTCGGCAGTTCATATAGGAACATTTAAGATTACAAAAAACCCTAATTACATAAATAATAATTTAACTTTAAAATAAAAGAAATAATACATATTTCCTTCTTTTCATTCATAAATAAAACAACTCAACACAAGCTCATCTTTGCATTAACTCTTGTTATCCAGACCATAATCATGAGCTCATTTAGCAGAGGAAGTTCAGGATGTTCCTTATTTTAATAGATCCATGTTATTATCCAGCAGTAAGGAGCTCTGAGGTTTCCCACAATCCACTGCAGATCAAACCCAACGTTTCCAAACACTGTTGTACAAGAGACACTGCAGCAGATTATTAATTAAAATCTTCTGCATAATTAAACTTTACATTGCTAAACTTTACAATATATAAAGCATAACGACTACGAGTCACATCAGCCTGTTTGCGATAATAATGCGTTTAATGCAGTTTTGCGCACGTGTGTTTACATTTTACAGAAACGAAACTTAAGCGCATGGCTCATTTGCATAAACAGCACTTCTCACGCAGCTCAACACGTTTAGCTTCTTTCGGGCTAAAGGACGCGACTCGGTGGAATATGAGGAAGTGCTGCTGATGTTCTTGTCTGTAAATGGTGGAAAAGGTTCGTGGTGCTTGAAGCTTTTCACTGGCACCAACTTTCGGCGTTCACGGCGATAGTGACGAGTGAAGGAGACACGAGCGAACAAAATCAGGGAGGCGGGGGTGCGCTGAGGCGATGAGAGAGAAGGTAAACAAGCGAAGAGGCGAAATCAAAATTGAATATAAACATTATATCGGTATATACGATATGTCAGAATTCATATCGAGTTTAAAAATCTCGATATATTTAAAATATCGATTATAACATGGCACAAAGCTCATATGAGTCAATGATGTGTAATACAGGACCTTTAACACACTGTCGTGGCTCAGTTTCTCACTCTAAAGCAATGGATTTCAATAGTCCCACCCACTTTGCACAATCAGCTGTGGTTCCAAAAGTTAATTTTCCATTAATTTTACACCTAGAGCTACTTGCTAATCAATATCCATAACGTGGTTGTTTCAGATCCGAAGAGAACATTTAAGACGAAAGGCATTTAAAACTGAAGACATTTAAAACTAAAGACATTTAAAAATAAAGACATTTAAAACTAAAGACATTTAAAATGAAAGACATTTAAAACTCAAGAGATTTAAGGCATTTCAAATTAAAGACATTTAAAGTTAGTTAGTTAAAATAATATTCTAGGTCTTGTGTTCATTAGTTACTACATACATGTAACAACACTAATGCATGCATGGTAAAACTAGACTATAATTCTAATTGGTTTAAAAGTAAAGTCCATTTTCCATTACTTCATCCCCCACGCGGCACTTCCTCTTTAATTTTACCAGAGCTGAACAGGACAAACCAGATAAGCCCCGAAGGCACTCACAGGGTCCGCTAAAACGGCTAATTACATTCACTCATTAAGCCCCCTAATGGCCTTAAATGGGGTTTGGATCTATACATTTTAACCTCATTAGAATCAGATGTTCCACAACTGTTGATCCTCTGATGACCATCTCTCCAAAAAGAATCTCTTTGCAGATCTGACTTCAGTTGTTACACTTTTGGAGACAGACCAAGTTGTTTTGCAAATAGGAGAACATTAGCTGCATTAGTTTATCTCCAGAAAGAACAGAATAAGAAACGGTGTTATATAGATAGATCGATCGATAGATTGATAGATATATATAGATTTTATAGCTGCTTAGGTGGGTAAAATGCAGAAGGGGACTTTTCAAAACGTAGCTGTAATCAGGTTAAGGTTCTATTCCTTCTCATCTGTTGGCGGGGCAGAGCGTCTACATCCACTACAAGTCAGTACGGTAAGACCAATCCAACTTTACACGTTTTACAAGCCTTACTTTTGTGCTTTATTATTATTATTATTTATTTTTTTATTTTTTTCATATGGAATAATCTCTAATAACCAGAAGGACACGATCCAGTCCAAATGTCTCAATCATTAAGGAGTTATTGATGATGCAATACTAGACCAACTATTTTATCATTGAAATTGTTTTAAAATACCTTTAGAATTTGTAATTAAGGTTTAGCTATTTAACTGGAAAAATACAATAAGTAGGCTGTCAAGATGTAACAAAAATACATTTCCCACTATTTTATAGCCCTTTTTTTTTTTCTTTTTATGAATGGACTACAAGTCGGCCTGTTTCACTGCGTGCAAACCTTCTGACCTCGTATTAGAATTTGTTCGCTGATTTGCTGGTGCCCAGACTCGCACTTCCATGGTTTTTGCAAACCGTGTAGTGTATTCCGATTCCTGACGTAGTCGCTGGAGAGAAATGAAATTGAGCGGAGGCACTAGGTGGCACCAGTCTGGCTAACAAGTCATTTACGTTGGGAGCACAATTTGTCAAGAAAAATAAAACATTTGTGTACAAATGCATTAATTCATTCTAAATTCCTCTTGACATGCTTGACTGCTCCAGACAAGTCATAAAATTCCAAGTAGATGGCAGAGCCTTCAAATGACAGAAATATGCTCCAAATTGTGTTTATATATAAAACAACTCAAGAGTCAACATATACACAAAAAAACTAAAAAGTTACAGGTCACATCTGTGGAGAGGCGACCCGGCACATAGTCAGAATGTTTGTATTTCTAGGTATTTTTGAGCAATAAAATCTCTTGTAATTGATTAAATGTACTGTATTTTTCGGACTATAAGGCACACTTTTTTCATGGTTTCGGTGTTTCCTGTGACTTGTACTCCGGTGGAACTTATATATTAAAATTTTCACACTGACAGCCACGAGAGGGCGCTCTAGGCTTGTGTGTCAGTATCTGCTACTACTATTCGCTCATGTCTCCTGCAGAAAGAACCTCTGTTCTGTCTGTATCATGTCAGTCGATCGCAAAATATTACATTTAAGTGACTTCAGTGACACCGAAACCATCCTGTCGGGATTCAGAAAGGCCAGAATAATTCTAACTGGAACTGATGCCTTGTCTGACGACAGCTACACAGAAGAGGAAGCGGTGCTCCGTTTACTTCCGGAGGTCGTGGAGTTGCTCAGAAGTGGCACCGAGGATAAAGAATTCAAGTGGATTTAGTGATTTGGAGTGAGCTCGAGAGTTTGATAAATTTGTTCTGTTCTGTTGTTTATGCTATAGTTCATATGTGCCATTAACAGCCTGTTGCCTTTCAAGATTAAATGTCGGTTCCTGGTCTCCAATTTTATTAACAGATTTCCCCCCAAAAGTGCAACTTATAGTTCGTTTTTTTCTTCTTCATTACGCATTTTTTGGCTGGTGCGACTTATACTCCGGAGCGACTTACAGTCTGGAAAATACAGTAAACATTCCAGGCAGAGTAATGACATATCCATAGAAACAAGCAGGTGATGAACCCCCAACCAAAAAGTTACACAATGCACTTTTAAAGAAAACAAGTAAGGTTCTCTTCTTTCTCATCTGTTGGCGCTGCAGACAGTCTGTACCCACTTCGAGTCCGTACGGTGAGACGAATCAGTCTAACTTTACATGCTTACAAGCCTTACTTTTGTGCTTTCTTAATTACTTTCCACATCAGCTTTAAACAGATCCCCAGAATCCACTTTTCCTTGTAACCTGACAGTTCTACCCCTGAATGAGTTTGATTGTTGCTCAAATGCTAGCAGTTGCATCTCGTATTTCCTGTCACGAGACTCACCTGTCACCTCTCACCCTCTCTGTGTGAAACAGGTGAGGAGAAGTACGAGGAGTGACACAGCAACAAGAGCTCAGGTTCCGTCTAAGCCCGGTCCGTCCGCCGGGGAGTCCCACGCGAGGCCTCTGTCCAGACCGGCTGCCCTGACGACCTCCAGAAGTCCGGAGACGGGAGTTGCAGAGTTGAGATCACAGCGGGGTATCGCGCCAGATGTCTTCAGTGTAGACACCAGCTCGTCTCACAGCATGGACAGTACGAGGAGGTCAGTATTTACATGTATAGGAACCCATATGATTGATATTTTGCAGTGACATTACGATGGCGGTGTACATGTCGGAGTTACAGAGGTTTACATAATGCACATATTAGCAAAAGCTTTTAAAGATTGCCTGAAAACTCAAAAAAAAAAACATAAAATTGATCCAAATAGGACCTGACCGATGTGGATTTTTTTACGGCCAATATGATATACCGTATTTTCCGGGCTCTTAGACCTTAGACTCTTAAGCCTCTAACCCCATCAAAAAAACGACCGCACGCCCCACAATCCAGAGCGCCCCATACACGAATCCACTCAGGTGTCCCAGCGACCGCGCAGCAAAACACACCCACAGCCACACTCATCACTCTAAGCGGACGAGGAACGGAACGAAGGAACGAACCGAAAAAGCGAGTCCCAGACAGCACTCTCCCTACACGCCACCATTGAAGAAAGCCCAGAGTCACCATGAACGTGCCAAAGAAAGTCCAAGTCTGAGCCATCGAACTGTTATTTTGTTTAAAGTCCAGTGCGGTTTATTTGTGAAAAAAGTTTGAAAATAGACCATTTAATGACAGTGTTTTATAATCCAAAGCGCCTAATAACCTGTAAAATACGGTAGATAAAATTGGAGTTGGAGCTGCCGATAGCCGATATAAAAGCTGATGTATTTAGTGATGTAAAATTCACTATAAATCTTCAATTCATTATAAAACTTAGGTCTGGCTCTACTGGAATTTATATTGGGTTTATTTACGCTACATTTATTCTTATTCTGCCTCTTTACAGTCATTTTTAAAGACAGTAGGTCAGCCTAAGGGCTTTTTTTTTTTTTGCGTGACATTCTAGGCAGTAAAGAAAGAAATTAAACTACCGCTATCAGCCTTTAGTGGTAAATGTGTTCAAAATTAATTGTGAATTCAAATTAAATGTGTTTAATTAATTATGTGTAAATGCAGATCATTCACACCTCTATTCACAGCTCATATACATGTCATATCAGGTCCAGTAAAGTGTGTACAGCCACTATAGCCACTTTACAGTCGGCCAGTGTAAGAGAAAACAGACTGTTTATGTGTGGGAGCTACAGCAGCTATGAGATAACCAATGAGAAATAAACAAAAGTAACTTCAAAACTGACACATTTGCAACACTTACCGCTCACACAGGCTCCTTCACAAGTAAGTGTCCTTTCAATCCTGACTCAAAACGATCGTCCGTAAATATAATATAATCCAGCATGTTGACATCTGGGTGTGTAAACAAGCGCTCGTGAGTGATGTGACTCTGGGGGTGCGTTCAGGGGCAGTACAGCGCATAAACACAGACAAATTACTCCGCAGATAAATATTGATGCGGTGCCACATATTAGGAAATTTTATCTGTCAGGAAATTGGATTAAATTGACTCAGTATAGTGAGTCTACACTTTATAATGAGGTATAAACATGCCCACATAGACTATCGGCCCATATTGGCAAGATTTACATCAGTCGGGTCCTAATCCAAACTAGGGATGGGCATTCGATGAAATTTTCTTAATCAATCGTCGGAAGAATTAACGATCGATTATCGATTAATCATTAATGTTTTTATATTAAAATGATCATCGTTATTATTACTATCTGCACTACTAATCTGCATAAATAAATTCAACTTTACGACATATAAACCGTAACGACTCTAGAGCCACATCAATCCGTTTGACATTATAATGTGTTTAATTCAGTTTTGCGCAACTCTCACAGAAACAAAACTTAAAACCACATCGCTAATTTGCATAACCTCAGCGAAGATAAAACTACAGCTCTTGTGCGCTGATGCGGTCAATTTCTGTCGGATTAAAAGACATGATTCAGTGGAATACAGGTTAGTGTGACCAGATTTGCGTTTGTTAAAACCAGGACACCGGGGGGCTCGTCATCGACATTGCGCGACTCTCACCTGGCAAAGTTTTTTCCCACTGGACACCGAAACATATGTTCCTGCTTTGTACACTGTGCACATGGACTCACACTTGTCCTGAACGCAACGGAAAGCGTGGAATTTCTTGTACAAATCATCGTTAAATACGCATTTGTGCTTCGGTACATTGCAGACTGACCGACTGTTTGCTCGCTCCTTCAGAGAGACACATGTACAGACCCCTGTTTGGTCACGCTAAGCACAGCAACCTACATTCGGTTTGTCGATTAAAATTAACGTAATCGATGAAATTCTTAATGATCAATTATCGATTAATCGATTAATCATGCCCATCCCTAATCCAAACCACACATTTTCAGGAGCCTGTGATCAATACGAGTGTTCATGGGCCTGTTTAAGTGTTTGATTTTCAACAAAAAAAGGTGAGTAACTGAAAAACTATCTAGTCTGTAATTTTATTTGTGAGAGACTTGTTTAACAGCACAAATCAGCTCAGCTCTTGTATGTATTTCCAACAAAATCAGTCCTATACGGTCAGATTGTGTTAAAATAAAGCTCCAGATTAAAGTTTTAACAAGCCTCAGACAGAGCAGTGCTTACAGTTAGCATCACACCCCCAGGGATTGTGGATGACGTCAGCTGCAAAGTAGACGGTGGTGACTTAATCGATCAAAGCATTTTATTTTGATCATAAGGATTTATATGGGACAACAGAAAGGACAAGTTAAAGAATAGCTGAAGTTTTGATATTTCTATGTAAAAAGGCAGATTAAACTCATTCTCAAGTTCTTTATATAAATACACAGTTTCCTTATACTTTTTTGTATAAATAGTTGTTTTTTTGCATGAGCTCCCCCTGCAGGTGTAGTCTTGTGAGTGCAGTTTGGGTCAGATACATAGAAACACATTATAGTTTTAAAAGCTTTGGCTTCTTTTTAGTCAACTAATCGATTAGCAGGACTTTAGTCGATCAAAACTTTCTTTAGTCGATTACAGCCCTGGATGGTTTATAAGAAAATGTAGACTAAAGAGTATCCTCAAAAATAAATTTTTAAAAAGCCACAAAAGACAAAATTTGCAGTCTTTGATGCAGAATCAGAATCAGGGTTTCTTTTTTAATTAACTGTCAAGGGGAAACTATTTTTGTTACAGACATACAGCCGACCAGCAGAAGAATAATAATAGAATAATATGAAAAACAAGTAAATAATATATATATAAAAAATAAATAAAGTTAAAGAGTCTTTGTATAAGTTGTGAAAGCTAATAAAATAATCAAATGTGAGTCTCTTAAAGAAAACAACTACAGTACAGTAAACCTTTATCAAACAACCCTCAGTGATAAAATAAACTTACATTTTAACTAGAATGATATAACATTCTAATCGTTTTTATAGGTTTATACAGTTTTACAACAATCAGATATGGAAAGAATATTGCACCAAGATTGTACAGTGACATTTTACAGTGCAGAGTTTAGAGGTTTGATGTTATAGTTCACATAAAAGAAATGACTCTCAACCATATTGTCTGAAAATGATCAAGACAATTAAAAAATATATTGAAATACAAACTTTTGTCCAAACTCACCACAGAATTACATTTTTAGCGCTAGAAATGTATAGAGCTGCAATGACTAGTCTGGATTATTGTGATCGAGGCAGTAGGCGGGACAGGGACAAACAGGTCTGTTGTCCCTGGCCCCAGTGTTTTAGGGGCCCAGAATTAGACTCTCTTCCTATTAATAATTTTATAGGGGGGCCCATGTCAGGCTTCTTGCCCATGGCCCCCAGATTTCTTTCAACAGGCCTGATTGTCACAATAATTAGTAGTAATTATTGATTATTTGAATAATCATTTATTATTATCTGGATTATGAACAAGTTTAATATCAATACTGAACTACACTAAAGCAAAGGTCAAAGGAAAGAGACAAAGAGGATCCTGTATATTGTGATTTTGAATGGACAAATACATATGTAACTGGTAAATAATTAATACTACTATTAATACTAGAGCCCGGCCGATATATCGGTTGGCCGATATTATCGGCTGATATGGACAACTTTAGGCATATCGGCTATCGGCCGATATGCTTGCTGATAGGGGCCGATATTTCAAGTGGCCATGTTATACCTCGTTATAATGCTTAGACTCTCTACATTCTGTTCATTTAATCCAATTTACAGACAGATAAATGTCCTAATATGTGGCTCCACATCAGTATTTATCTACGGAGTCATTTGTGTGTATCCGTACTGTCCCTGAACACACCACAGAGTCGCGTCACTCACGTGTGTTTGTTTACACCTGCAGACACAGATCCAAACACTGAGATTATATTCTTTTTACGGACAATCGGTTTGAGTCTGGATTAAAAGGACATTTATTAGTGCAGATTTGTGATGTGAGGAGGAGCCTGTATGAGCGGTGAGTGTTGGAAATATGTCGATTCTAAAGCTAGTTTTTGTCATTTGTTATGGGTTAGCTGCTGTAGCTCCCGCACATAAACAGACTGTTTTCTATTGGTCTGTTCTAAAGTGACTATATTGGCCGTATATTTGCTACTGGACCTGCACTGATATGTAAATGAGCTGTGAATAGAGGTGTGAATTATGACATTTGCGCATATAATTAATTACCGCGGCGCGCACGTATTTACGCTATTAGGCTAATAGCGCTACTTTCTTTACTAGTTATGGGTCCGTCGCAAACGAAATGACTCTTAGATCCGGCTCTTTGAAGGGAACGACGGGAGCCTGATCCTTATTGGGAGCCGTGTTTTCTCTTTCTCTCACCTTTTTTCTCTTCACGCCGCGTGCAGATTCGTGGTTTGACAGCGGCAGCGGCTAAAAACGAAACTTTGCGTGTACGTAGGATTAAAAAAAATAATAATAATTTAAAAAACGAGCATATTTGACTGTAGTTTAGCATAAAATAAATAAGTCCCGGTTTAGTCCTTTTTCAGTCCTGGTTTAGACCTGGTTCAGTCCTGATTCAGTCCTGCTTTAGACGTGCTTTAGTCTTGCTTGCAACAAAACAATCTGAAGAGCCACTTGGGAGCCAAAAGAACCAGCA